GGCTGTGAGGGCTGTAGCGGGCCCCGTGCCCGAAAAGGGGCTTTTCTTTGTCTCCTCCTCCTCCTGAGGCGGGCAGGGTGCGGGCAGGGGCCCGCCTGCGGGACGCTCTAATAACAATTTCCATATGTTCTGCGTCTTTGTTTCTTGTCACGGTGTCGATCAAACGACCGGGTGCTGCTGTGCCGCTCACTTCTTCACCAACTTTGTCCTTTCGCAGCGTCCTGTCCTTGCTGTCCCCCCTTCCCCGGTGTTGTAGCTCGTTTCAGTGGCACTGGCATTCGGGGCAAGTTCTGGCTGTGTTTCCCTCCCTTGTTCTGTTTGCTAAATTTACCATGGTTTAGTGTTTCTGTTGAAACGTGGGAGATTCTGATAACGATAAAATGCTTTCCGTGGTATCTGTCAGCTTTTAGCTTTTTTCTACTTGGAGGCAGAAAATGAAATGTGTGCCAGAGCCTCTTGTTTTAGGCCTGTTACCTCAGATGGGTGTAAAAACTGTTCACGTAATGGGGTGAGTCGGGGTAGTACTTGTGGTGATGAGTCTCCTGCCTCTCTCCGGAGAGGCAGCCTTCCATCTGCTGTGCATATTTTAGTATACATGTATATTAGTGATGGCCAAAGCATTTTTGATAGAGATGTCTGTGATTATGTGATTATTTTTATGCACCGTTTGAGCAATTATTAAGAAGATGCTCGAGCTCCTGTTGCATAGGAGATGGTTTGTTTGTAGCAGTGGAGACTCTTGGTGTGGCTGCTGAGAGACTTGTGAGCTAGCAGTTTTATTGCAGAAGAAAATCTAGGAGACGTGTTCTTAAGTAAACCCGGATACTTTTTGGTGCACAGTAGGATGGTCTGTGTTTGCGAGCGTGCAGGTTCAGAGAGAAGTTTGCATTTTGCAGCCAGGTATTGGGTAGGAGTTTTACATAAGCATTTCACTGAGTGTTTATGACGCTGTTCACACCATAAGTCTTTTTGCACCTTTGTGTTTGGAGGCTGTGTACAGACTGGCCAGGTGTCTGATGGGACAGGGGTGTGGTGGGGTCTGGGTGTGACTGAGCCACAGCAGGAGCCAGGGGGCGTGGGCAGCCTGTGTGCAGTTTGCGGGCAGGTGCTGCTTGGGCCATCCCTGAATCGTTATTTCATGGTGGGATTGGACGGAGTGTGGTTTTGGGTTCCTGGGTGAACCAGAATTGCTGATTCTAGTAGTCCCTCCTGCCTTTCTTTCAGAACCAAGAACTTGTGTTTCCCAGCAGGCTCGGCAGGTGCGCGTGCCGGGTGTGAGCCCTTCGGTACCGGGGCACTCAGGTGGAAGCTGGAGGCAGTGCCAAGAGCAACAGGCAGGTTGTCTGTTCCTGATGTGGACTGCCTGATAGAAAAGCACAGACCTTCTGTCTCTCTGCGTGTTATGAAAACACTCAGAATACCAAACAGCAAAACAATCTCTCTGGGGTTTGACTGCAGCCCTTAGTTGCATGAGCTAAACAGAAGCAATCATTTTGCTCTGAGATGGTTCTGTACGTTTCACATGGAATGTCTGAAAAAAAATCAGACTTGGCGTCTGCTTAGAAATTGAAACAGGAGAACCTATATGGCTGGATACTTCATATTGCTTGCTTAGGAGGATGAAAGGCTGCTCAAGACTGTTGGAGGTGCATCATCAAAAGAGAGTCTGTTAAATTTTTTCTTGACCTTAATTTTTTTTTTTGTGCTGTTATAAGCACTATACTACTTGGTGTTCTCTAAGTTTTACTGCTTTCTCGTTTTTACTCTCAGGTCAGGTACTGCTTGTGTTTACTGCCTGCTCTGCTTGATGAATCATTCTCTAGCAAGTGGCTCTGAAATCCGCACTATGTATTCAGGAACGTTAGAGAAATGTGTTTTACTGTAAAAAATGACAGAAATGTCTAGCATTCTGTGTACAAAATTACTTTGTAGAGTTTCTGCTAGGCTAAAAAAAGTTCTTTCTGTTCCTTGATTTTTTTTTTTTTTCTCTGTCACTGTAATTATTCTGTTTATTCTTTGAATTATTCTTTAATTATCTATCTGTTCTCAGTATTCTTCTCTCTCTTTCCTTTTTCTTGTTTTCCAGTTCTGACTGTACTAACACCATTGCTGCATTGCTACTCTTAGAGTGTTATCTTCCCCCAGTATCTGTCCTTGGCCATCAGACACTATGAGGAGACTGGCTTTTCGAGGTGCTGGTTGTACTCTGGTAAATCTGGTAAATTATTGATTATAAGTGCACCATTCTCTCCATTTCTCTGACTTAGGCTTTTGCTTTTCTTTGTGATTGTGAATTATTACTGCCTTATTCATCTCATTTGTGTGCTGGAGATTAATTGTCTCTACCATAAATGCTCTAATGTGGTTCTGTTGTGCTGCCATACCTTGTAAATCAACTGAGTCGTTCCTAGAAGATATTCCTTAATTTGGTTGGAAAACAGGTATAGGCCAGGATAGATGGCTCTGTTCTGTCCTCAGGCTTTGAGACAGCTACAAATAAAGATATTTTTCTGATGCTGTCACTGGAAGTTGGGAAAGAGCCAACAACTTGTTCATAAATCACCATGGTTGTTGGATGGTAGTTGTTCATATGTCACTGTTTATGTTGATAAATGGAAAACTGTGGCCAGAGGAGGTGGCTTTTTTACTTCTTGGTGATTGAGCCGTTCATCCTATACATCAAGTGGGAGTGGTAGGTCACATGATGCTCCAGATCATTTTTGACTTGACTCTAAGGCAAGGTATTCCAGTAACCATTTGAATTTTTGTTTGTAATTTGTTTTCTTCATGGCTTTTCTTCTTGTTTTGTTGTTTGTTTGTTTCTTTTCGATGGAATGATGTGCTTTTACACCAGAACTGAGCACAGGTCTCTGTACAGGTTTTCCTTTAAAACAGAGGTTCTCGCTTGGTTACCATGCATGGAATGAGGTATCAAAATACAGATAGCTTAAGAACATATCCTAATGAGAGCTGCTAAATTCATCTTCATCACTGTGAGATCTAAGCTTTCTGACATTGCTGTCATCAGTGACTATAAAACTGTGGGACCATTTTGATTTCCCTTTACTTTTGGCAGTTTTTGAAGAGCTGGTGTTTACATATGTGGCTTACGTGAACTGTAATACATAACAAATGCATGTGACTCATCCTGAGCATTGGTAGCTTTACAGTTACCTCTCAGCAGAGAATTTAGATGCAATGCCATGAGTTTAAGAACATCTCTCTTCATTATAGAAGAAGTTGGATTCCATGGGTTCCAAGAGGCGAAGAGCCACCTCGCCTTCCAGCAGCATCAGCGGAGGAGACTTTGACGATGGCCACCATTCCACAAATATACCAGGCCCAAGCAGAAAGAGGAGGAGACTTTCCAATCTCCCGACTGTAGATCCCGTTAGTACCTTCTTATTATGCACAACCTTTTTTTCTTGGGGATACTGTACCTCTGTCTGGGATTGTAAAATAGATGACCATATGTAGCACAGAAACGCCAGCCCTGCATCCGTGGCTGCCTTGGCTAAGACTTGGTTAGGATCTTGTTCAGCTCTGGCTTATTCTTGTCTCCCCAGTTTCATTTTTGTCTTTCCCATTTTCCTTTTGCTGCTTTTCTTTTGTTTGCTAGTGATTTTAGCAGATGGAAGGACATTGGAGAAGGAGGTGAAATCATAACATGCAGAAGTTGAGAGCTGTGTCTGAATAGCAAATGCAGAGAGGGATTAAGTGGGGAATGGCACAGGCAGTGATTGCTGAAGTGCACAATATTTCTGTTATGCCTTTGAGTTAGCAATATAATTTTAATTAATTGCAGGGCAGAAGAACCCCTGTCGCTGTTTTAGATGTCTGTAACTCTCAGAGAATTGATTTACTGAATTAATTTACATTTTGGGTGTATTACTTATAATCAGCATTGAAAGAAAGCTTGCTATGTTCTAAAAAATAAATTAAAATTCTGCAGTACCTGGCATGCTTGTCAGGTATTTTACTGACGTATGAGATGCACCGATTTCTTCACACTTCTGTCTTCTGCTTTAGAGCAGGCCAGTGTCTGGCAGCTTATCTTTCCCATTGTAAGCAGACTTAGATTTATTACCTCCTTAAAATTTTCTCCTTTTTCATTTAATTACTTTATTGTTCTTGCATTTTAGATCGCTGTATGCCATGAACTTTACAACACCATCCGAGATTACAAAGATGAACAGGGCAGGCTCCTTTGTGAGCTTTTCATCAGAGCACCAAAGAGAAGGTAAGACCATGGTTCTGGTTGAGCAATGAAGATGTAATGAAGTGAAGCCTACTAGTAGATCACTGTCCAGATCTTTTGGCTTGAACAAAAATGTGTTGGAACTTTCTTTGTTTTATTTAGTCATAAATACTTAGAAGCTTCAGTGCTGTGGGTTTGGTATTACTGCTTGGAATATAATGCCTGTTTTTGTCATTGTGACAGAAATCAGCCAGATTATTATGAAGTGGTTTCTCAGCCAATTGATTTAATGAAAATCCAACAAAAGCTAAAGATGGAGGAATATGATGATGTGAATGTGCTCACTGCTGATTTTCAGCTTCTCTTTAACAACGCAAAGGCTTACTATAAGGTGAGGAAAATACATATAAAGTCTCAAATTAATTGTAAATGTGGTAGAGATGTTTTCAGATCCTTCCTTGATTTGGCTAAAAAACGTTTCAGTTTAGCCTTTATCATTGATAAGAGGACAGCACACGTTGCAGTTGTTTGCACGTATCTCTGCAAGGTTGACTTTATCTTTGTAACATGTCCTACTATCACAGTTTTTCTGTGGAAAAGTATAAAATAACGTGAGGAGGTTCCTCATGTAGTTTTCCAAAAGAGAGAGAAAGTAGAAATAGAGATGTAAGCTGAGAAGAAGAATATTCTATCAAAGCCTTCCCATTTTACAACATGCCCTGCGTAGCCTTTTGAAATAGAAAAATACTATTCTTTTTCCCCAAAGGAAGAGTTTATAAGTAACAGCAAGCATACAGTTAGGAGTGTTGAACCTCTCTCTTCTATTGACCACTTAATAATATGAAAAAAAGGCACATTGATTATCATGGTCAGTGTTGATAGATTGTGAGTGTACGTGATGATGTGTTTCCTCAAGGGCGCCACCCCCGTGTTCATTCCCCTGAAATGGGTATATGTGTTCGTTAGATGGTAATGGTTTTTATTGTAGTTCCTGTAAGGAAGTGGGAAAAAAATGGATTAATCTTGTTTAATGGGAGGCTATGTTAAATACATAAACCAATGAAATTTTATATAATGACTGAGATGATACAGCAAATCCAAACTGCTGATACTACCTTTCATATATTTTTGACTTTGGAGATGATCTGAGTGACTGCTTTCCCTGGTGTAACCAGGTCACATTCAGAAAAGCAGTGTTTATTTTGCTTATGTTTGTGTGTGTGTAGCTTTTTTGAAAACCAGTCAGATTTATGGATTAATAAATTTGTACATTTTGGTTACAGCAGAAAAAGTACAAAGATTTCCAAATTCATTGACTACTCCTGAAGCTTTGCAAGGCACTGTGGGCTTTTTCATGGTTTCTACATGCAGGAGAAAAATACATAAGAGATGAGAAGCAGTCTTTTTTTCTGGGCAGTGTTCTTCAGTAGTAATGTTAATAGGCACATGCTCGTCTGCCACTACCAACTCTCTACAAAACTTAACTTGGTGACTAATGCCTCTAGTATTTCCAAAAAATATACCTAGATGTGTACCCAGGTGGTAGCATATTGTCACGGTCTTTGGAATTTTACAGTTAATGCTGAGTATAAAACATTGTGGTGCTTTCAGAGGTATTGTCACATTTATTTACATTCTTCTTCTGTAGAAATTAATTTTTGAGTGCAACACAATGGCAGCAGTATTGGCTTAAATCACATCTCTGACATAATGATATTTAGTCTAACATTTTTTTTAGTCTGATATAATTTTAAATACCGGTAGTGTTATGCTTCAGCAAAACCTAGTGATTTCTGCAGATTCATCTTGTGCAAGCCTCAACCCAGGTAATTTTGTTGCTAAGTTTTCTGAAAGACTTAAATGCTTTTGAGTGTTATGGATTATATTTTCTACATACAAGTGGAAATAGAGGTTATATTTTCTAGTGCTCATTGCAATTCTTGACATCTCTGTTGAAGAAAGACTGAAGCAGGAATTTCCCAGGTTTTCTATTATTTAAAGCATTTAATACCTTTCTGCTAATAATTTATAAATTTCCATGAGATAACAATCTGAATTTTGAGTAGAATGTTTGATTTGTTTTTGCAGCCTGATTCTCCTGAATATAAAGCTGCCTGCAAATTATGGGAGTTGTATTTGCGCACAAAAAATGAATTTGTTCAGAAAGGTGATGCTGAGGAGGAAGAGGAAGATGAGGAAGGACATGACAGTCAAGGAGCAAATTCAGAATTAGTAAGTGTGGGCATGACAGCTGCAATTGGAGGAGGCCATGGCTGTGTATGTCAGCTGACTGAGAGGAAGACTGGCCTCCACGTGTGAAAATCATTAAGTCTTTTCATAGTTAAATTATACCCCAAAAGGTATTTCCTGTGCAAGTTTATTAGTGAATAATTTCACAGCAAGTTATAAGGTTTTCAGATATGGGTAAAATGTGATTCTGGTTTGGTTGGAACTAATATGTGTGCTTGTATGCCAACATTGAGGCTTGATGCAAGCAAACTTCTTGTCTGTTGACATAATTTTCCACTGTGTCCCCCATTCAGTTAGTGCAGCAGTTCCTGGAGTGTTTTATAAGCCAGATAAGATGATAGAAAGTCTGGGCTTATCTGGTTTTTGTGATATTTGGATGCATGTTTTCTTTAACGTTGACATCCAGGTCTAACAATATGTAAAGTATGTCTGGCAGCCTGCAGTGTAAATGTGAAATGAACTTTTCTCGTTGCATAAACAATGTTTATTTCAAAAGTTGCATCCATGTTTTATAGCTAATTTTACCTGTCTTTGAAAAATAAATTCATATTTTTGAGTGTAGCATGAAGCACGCCACTATGGCTGCTATTAAAAGTCCTGTGATTTTATTTCTTACATTAGTCATCTCCAGGTTACCTGAAGGAAATTCTTGAACAACTTCTTGAAGCTGTAGCTGTTGCCACGAACCCGTCAGGACGCCTCATAAGTGAACTGTTTCAGAAACTTCCTTCTAAAGTGGTGGGTGTTTTAGTAATATTAGTTGTGCTTTGAGTTGGAAACCTAGATGTTTATATAACTGATGTTATATGCTGTCATGGGCAGACTAAGGTTGTAATTCTTCGTTGCTGTCTCATCAGTGGCAAATTCCAGCTGTTTTTAGAACTCCCTTCCCTCTTCACTCCTACCCTCTCATTCTCAGCCCTTCATAGCAGCTGGGACTTGCCCTGTTCTGCCAATTTAGCTAACTGGTGTTTTTTTTGGTGCAGAGTTTTTCATCTTTTACAGTATGCCTGATTTCACGGTTCTGTTTCAGGGTGTGGCATAACAAGTTTGACCAGTGAAATAAATACTCTGAAGACTATCACCATGTATTTGACTTTGAGACAGAATTGTTCCTATATGTCAGTTTATTGATGAATTGTAATTGTGTGTATCTGCCTTATGATCTGGCTCACCCCAATTGAAGCCTAGTGCTGTGTTTATGAAGTTTACACTGCCCTGGGAGCTATTAGAACAATAGCTTTGTGACTGTTTATAGTAATATATATATTTTTTTTTTTGTTTTCCAGCAATATCCAGATTATTATGCAATAATAAAGGAGCCCATAGATCTTAAAACTATTGCCCAAAGGATACAGGTACAGTATGAGCCTATTAATGTGCCAGAATATAGACTTGTTTAACAGTAAGCTTTCCAAAATTGTTAGAAGCCAGAGTTTGTGGCGGTAGGAAAGGCAATGTGTTTTTCCCTTGTTTAAAAATCTGCATGCTCTGCTGATTTAATGCTCTGTCCTGGGTTAATGCTGCAGAAGTAGCTGTGCTGAAGATCAGGCATTGTGAACTGTAGTATGCTGGCATTGAGCCTGAGCACCTTGAGTTCCTTGATGTTTAGTGGTTTAAAGTTGTTATTTGGCAAGTACTGCTGATATAAAACATTAAAGTATTGAAGGTTGGTTGTGCATTATCATCACCTGCTTTTGTTCTACTAGTGTAAGTAGGTGTTTTTTACTGATGCTTTTTTCATCTTATTTCTCCACTAATTGGAAATACTGTTCTGTAATTCTAACATTTTGTATAATAGTGAGCATGTAGACTAACTGAACTAGAGAATAAAGGTAAAATAACTTTATTAGAACCCTTCAAAATTAAGATCATCTAATGTATTCAGTATTATTTTTCAATCTTTTACTTAGCATTCATAAGCTCTGTAAGGACTTAGCACTTACATTTGTTATTGCTTTTTTGATTACTTTTTCCAGATACTTAACTGTCCTCTTTATAAATATGTTCTCGTGTTTCTGTAAATGTTTCCTTTACTCTGTATGAATTTCCTTTGCTTTTCACTATTGACTTAGTTCTTATGCTATCTCAAGTTTGCCACTTCAGCCAGTTGTGGTTTCTATTTTATAGAATGGAACTTATAAAAGCATTCATGCAATGGCCAAGGATATAGATCTTCTGGCAAAGAATGCCAAAACCTACAATGAACCTGGATCACAAGTGTTCAAGGTTAGTTTCAGTTGTTCATAGTTTGAATTCAGTTCAGATTTTCTTTACTATTTTTTGTGCTGATTGATCCTTAAATGAATCTTTAGCATAAGGCCCTAAACACTGTTTACATTTATTTTTCCAATAGTTATTAATGACTTTCCTTTTTTTTTAAATATTGCTTTCAGTATAATTAGAGTGTATGTGACTTTTTTTTTTTTCTTGAGGTACATGATTTTTTCAATTAAATTTTATCTCTGTTAAACACAAATTACTTCTTTGGTGGAATGAGGGATCCCTGCACTTGTGATTGAAGTTGAAACTACAGGTTCAAGTGACAGCAGTAGTTCTCAGCTGTTACCTCTTCCTAGATGGCAGGAACTGTTTATGGTTTTCATCCAAAGATTCAAAACCAGAGTCATGCTGCCTTTGTATGGTTTTTCTAGAACCTCTTGGGTTTAGCTATATTTTTGAGACCAAATTGCACCTCCTATCTTTTTCATACTTAGTTCACCAGCATTTTGTGTACAAATGTTCACAGTGCTGCTGCCATGTGCTCTGAAAGTAAGGGAATTTCAGTGGTACATTACTCCTTCACATGCTCAGTTTTTAAGGGCCTTGTAGTGAGAGACCTTGTATGCATATGGCACTATTATGTAAGTGGTTATTTGACCTATCCAGTTGCACTTCTGTTTAGATTGTAGTTTAAGTTCCCAGTGACATTACCCACACTTGTAATCTCACTTAAAACTTGAAATCTCTATTTTGTGAACTGTTATTCCAAGTATCAAGTCCAGAGGTGCCGAGTGAGAGTGAGCTAGCATTGTAAAGCTTGGTAATGGTAGTAACTTGGTAACTTCTGATTACAAAGGCACAGAAACTCATTTGCCTGTTGTCACAAACTGGTAGCGGTTTCTGACACCTGTTCAAAATGGTATTTGTGTATATTTGCAAATTGTAGATTTTTTTTAAGGAGACAATAAAAATGAGCTCAAAGCTTCTCAGCTATTCTGTTTCATTTTTAGAGGCCACTGAGTGCATTTTAGGCAGACTTTCTCATACAGAATTGTTATATATAAAAATGTAAAAACCTCTTCGTTTTTGTTTTAGATTTAGATAGATGGATGTAGCTGACTGTAATGTTCTTCACTTCCAGCATTAAACAAAAATATTCTTTTAATTGACAGGATGCAAATGCGATTAAAAAAATATTTAATATGAAAAAGGCTGAAATTGAACACAGTGAGTTGGCCAAGTCAAGTCTCCGAATCAGGTACTGCAAAAAGAGTTCTTTTTCTATTCACATAGAAAAATCTCTATAGACATGCCCTTAATTTTGCTGGGGAGAATATAGTGGGAAATGATTGCTCGGAAACTTTGGGTTTTGTTGTTTTTGAAGTTATAAACCATAAAATAGTTTTCAGAAGGAAAGTTCTCATGGAAATACTTCTGTGGTGTACCTGATTATGAAAAATGGTGTTAGTGGATCTTTTATAATTTAAGCTATGACAAACTTCTACCACATGCGTTTGTAAGCTTATAAGAGAAAAGGAATAGTGAGGAACAAGGTGCCTTGTTGTACTTTACTTCATGAAAAATGCTGGATATTCTTGAACTGTGTTAGGAGCTGAAACATGAGAGCTCACAGTTAATCAGGTGGGGCAGAAACATAGAAAAAGGCAAAAGATAGGTCAAAAAAACCAAAAGGGAAATCAATGTTATATAAGCTCTTGTTTGAAAAATGGTTTCCTGCTATGAAAAGAGGCACATGACTCTGAAGATCTGTGTCCTGTGAAGGTCACTTATTAACCAGTGAAGCATAGATTTGGTCTTGAACTGGCAGACATGAAACCCTATTGATAGCTCTGCTTGTTGTGTGGAATGATTTTATTTAGGAAACAGCATTTTCTTCTTGTGAAAATCCATAATGTACAAAGAAGTTACCTAATAATTTTAGATGTTTCTTGTCTGAAATGCCATTAGATTTCTTCTTACACAAACTTCACTTAGAAGTAACACTCAAAAGGAAGTTTAGATATTATTTGCCAGTATGAACCGTGTCATTTATCTAAAAAAACATAAGCAATGTCTTGCACATCATCCAAGGAGTAGGCAAACTTTACAAGGTGGACTCTTCATGTGTTTGAGCTGTTTACTGGTACTTGATGCTGGAAAAGAACTGCTGTCATTTCCTGCAAAGGTTTGTATGTACAACTGAAAACACTAGCACTCCCTACTTTACTGAAAGACAGCTTAAATTTCCTTGTTTTCTGAAAAATATGTAGATTACATGAGCATTAAAACCTTTGCCTAGGATTTTTATGTGTGAAAGAAATAGAAGTAACCTGATTAATTTTTACCACTTAGTGCTCAGAGCCATTCAGCCTATATAGTGGAGTTTTGGTTGGTTTGTTCAGCGTTGGCATGCTTCTTATGTTTGGGTGATTCATTGTTGGAGCATATCAAAATACAGAAGCAGAAATACTGTTAGGGAGTAATTCCTGACATATTTTAATAATTTTCCTTTGTAGAAGTATCTGTAATGATAGGAAACGTTGATTCTACAGACACCAAACATACAGATGTGTTTGCATTACAGTAACTGGAACTACATAAAGAACATAGGGGTTTTTTATTTAAATTGTGATTTGATTTTATTTTTCTCACGATTGGCTGTTGATGAAGCTCAGGATGTCACTCGTGTGCTGTGTTTAATTTTGAGGATTAACTATTTTTCTTCACAATAAAGCTATTGGTATAAGAAGGGATGACAGATAAATCACACTGATATTTGTTAGTTGAATTCCTCTCTTGCACTGCCACCCCATCTCCTCTTCTCAGCTACCTTATTCTAGATGTTCTCTTATGTACTATGGTCTCAATAGACCTGCAAAACCTGAAGTAATCTGAATGTCAGAATAATTGACAGCTCCTTTCTTTGTTTCTCTAACTTGGCAAGAAAAAAAAAAAATCATAATGCCTGAAGCAGGCTATGGTAATATTGAACTGAATGCAGAAAAATCTGGAGTGAAAGTATCATAAAAACCAAACCTTTCACCTGCTGTGCTGCATTTCACTGATTACTTTTTTTTTTTAATCAAACCATTATTCTTTTTTTGTTTTTCTGCTGCATCTGCATCACAGAATGATTAGTTACTTCAACCACTTAGTTACTTCAAAGTGGTGTCTCCTTTGCCTGTTGCTGTTTTTGGTAAAAAAAATCCTGTAAATTTATTTAAAGTTCATTTATATAATTTTCTTCTGCCATTCCATCTGATTTTCTTTGTCATTGATGGATCAGGCTCAAATCTATTATAACACTACTAACCTAACTTCTACAGACATGTTGCCTTTTGGTCAAAAAGTCATGCTTTTCTTTTGCAGAGTTCATGTCCTTTGTCATAATAAATTGCTCTTTGTTGGTGCATTTAACTGTCCTCCCTTAAATAAAGTGGCAAAATAAAGTTGCATGACAATATGCAGTCAAGCAACTTGACAATGATTTTATTAAGTGTTGGTAAAACATGTTTGGGTCTGTGTGATTACTTCTATGTAGATGCTGAGGAAGATTTTGTAGGCTGCTTTCGCTGCTATTGTAGGCTGGGCTGTGTGTATAGCTATTAATCCTCAATCTAAATGTTACCTTCTACTGACTTTATAAACACAATCAACATTAATGCTGGGCACTAAATGTATCTTAGTATTACTTTAATTTTAGCTTTAAAACATTTTGTTTCTGCCTTGGAAACTTTTGGCTGATCTATCAAAGTAATTCTGTAAAGCTTTATCCTTGCTGCATCTTTTCTTGGGTCTAAGGTGGGCCTCTTTTTTTTCCCCTTTCCTTGGCTTGTCTCTTCTGCCTTAAGGAATCCATCAAATTTGACTACTTCCAAGCTGACAGGTCCTTCCTCACAGGGTAAAGGCAGTGTTGGTGATGAGAGAAATTCTTCTAACAAATACTATCGGTAAGTAAATTGTGGACTTCAAGGAAAAGCTGTGTCATCATCATATAGAAATACTAAAATTTTGACAGTGCTCTTCAGTATTGACTCAATTTTTTTTTTTTAACAATCAAATCTTATCAAATACTTTTTGATCGATTTCAGTTAAAGATCTATTGAGTATAATCTAAGAAGTTACTTTGCTATAATTACTTGTCCTTGTTTGATTTTATATTTAACATTTCAAAACATCTGTCATGAAATCCTCTGTATGCATTTATCTCCCTATAAATATTCTGAAGGACAATATGTTAAGCTTCATTACAAAATAAGACGTGAAAAAAAACTCATGGAAATGTGTTATTAACCTAGAAAAAATATATTTGGAGACAAAAAGGAAACAATAAATATGACTAACTAATTAAGAGATGGATGGTGGGAATCAGTGAAGCCTGTAGATAGAAAGTGTTTTGGGATACATTTATGGCCAACTTGTTGAATAGACCGGATTGCTGGAAGCTTTCTGCTTTGCTGTTTTGGTCATCAGTTGAGAATTTTGATATCTCACAGAGATCTTGTATTTACAGTCTGTGTTACTGTCTTGAAACAGTATTACTCCTGGCTAATTCCCTGCATGTGTCCTCTGAAACCATGGTGTCACTCAGCAGCTGCAAGGGTCTTTAAAGGACCGAGCATTAGTACGGAGTTGGTGTCATTTTACAAAACCCATCTGCCTTCTCCCTCAGGGCAAACCTGAGCCCATTGCTGGAGGTGCCTAAAGACCTGACCTAGTAAAAAAGCAGAGATTGTCAGTGTAGGTGTGAAATGCTGTGCCCCAGATCTGGGATGAAAGGGAGGAAAAGAGGAGTGCTGAAGATGTCTTTGTGAGACCGTAGCCAGTGTGGATGCTGATTTAGTCCACCTAGAAACCAGAGGAAGATGCTTTGCATACAGGCAGTCTGCTGAAAATGCCTAAGGTGGGGATGGGGGAATGGAAGATAGCATGTACAGCTTAGTGTGCCAAATTCCCTCATGCAGACAAATCCCTATAAACACAGGATCAAATAACAAATTTAATCATTGTGTTAATAACCTCCCTTCTCCCCCAGTAATTTAAACGCTCAAGTGTTCAAAATAGCACAGAAGATGACTAGCTTGAGCTCTAGCTTTCTGATTGTGCATGCAGTTTTTCAGTTTGATGGGCTGCCTCTTAATGATCCATAAGTCTGCCGCTGTTTTAAGTTTCTCTTTTTAAGAACTCCAGTCTTTCCTTGCATAGTCACCTCTGTGTCCCTGATAATGAGCTTCACTTGTTTACTTACACACTGGGTGATTGTTAATGGTTAACATAACTTTTTTTTTTAAAATCTTGCACCTTTTTTTTTACTTTTTTATAGTAACAAAAGATCAGCCCAAGGGGATCGTTTATCAGCAATAACCATGGCATTGCAGTATGGATCAGAAAGTGATGAGGATGCAGCTTTGGCTGGTAGGAACTGAAATATAGTTTCTCTATTTTCTTTAATTAAAATGTTTGGAATAAGCAAAACTGTAGAACTCTTTACACATGCAGATATCTTTGTTTCAAAAATATTTTTCTTTGTTTCCAAACTCAGCATGTAATTCTGTTAAATCCAGTCCCTGTTTCCTCCAAGTGTGGTTTTCTAAATGGTAAGATAAGATAGGCCAGACTTGCTTGCCTGTTTTGAATTTAGAGTGTGTGTTTGCAAATATACTTATCTAAGCTTTAGGGAACTGTTTAGGAAACTACATCTTCTAATGTGAAATGCAAGAAGAGACACTGGAGGGGACATTGCGTGCTTCTAGCAGTAAAAGAGGTTTGCAGTGCTGCAGTTGTTTGAGAGAAATCTTGCTCACGCTGCCTGGTTCTCTCTTGTGCTGTTTGGTCTGCTAAGTACCTGTCAGGTTTTCTGATAGTCTTGATAGTTACATTCTCAATAACATCCTGGCATTAATCTTAGAGCAGATTTCCAAAATGCTTTTGTACATATGTTTTTTTGTTTTTCATTTACATTATTTCTGCACTGATGTGAAATGATGCATCTCTTCTTGAGGCCATTTATTTCACGCCTGGCAATTGAATTGGACTTCCTACTCTTTTCCAGTGCATGGATATGCTGTAGAATTTTTTGGATCATTTTATGTCTTGCTGCAAGCAAAAGCCTTTCTATTCCTGGTTAGCCCAGACTTCAGTTATTGCTTCAGAGCAGCTGCTTTCTGGGAGGTGTGAGGATTATTTATTAGCTTGGTTCAGTATGGTTGGTAGATGCTATTTTTGAAGATTGTAGTTCTGTAAAAACACAGAGCTTTATACATCTTCATTTGATTTAAATTCTTGAAGTGATTTGACCACTTTCAGGTGCCACCTTTACTGTGGCCATTATTGTAATTTTCATGAGGCCTTTCTGATGCATCTGACGTTTCTGCCTTGCTGCTGTTGAAGATCTCCTGTCTTTATTGTACTCACCTAAGAGGCAATGGCAATTTTTTGGAAGACCTCTGTCAACCTTAAGATTTTCTAGCCCTCCAGCAAACTACTTCGACAGCTTTATGCTTTCAGTCTCTGGATGAAAATAAGCTTTATTTAAACCAAGTGGTCGTCTTGTTAGTTATGCTGGTACCTCACCTTTTGTTCCTTCCTCAAATACTCATTAAAATAAATGAGAACTAGGCTGCATGACTGAACATTAAGATACCTTTCTCCTTGATACAGAGAACTGAACAGTTATGAGCTTCCTGGATTGTAGTAGTTGCCTAAGCAATGAACAATATCTGTTTCCAGCTTGGAGTTTATCCTCACAGTTTCAGAAGGTATCATGGTGTGATGGAGCTTGTAGATTTCCAACTCAAGCGGACATGAGCAGCTTCTGCAGCTCCCTTGCTTCCTTGTTACAAATCTCAAGGCAGGCATAGGTCGTCATTATGCATTACTTAAAAATAGGTATTTAATTTTGTAAATAAATCAATTTTATTTGTTATTATTTAATTTAGAAATGTTTTAAGACTGGATGCTTCTTTTGGTTTTACTAGCATCCGTCTTCAGTTACGCTTTGCGCACTCATTGTCTAGGTGCTTTGGGACCACAATGGAGACAGTGTTTAAAGCAAATCACTTACTGACTGAAGACTAATTTTCTTTTGTATACTTTTGGATACTCTTCTTTTTCTCCTTTTTTTTTCTGCCTTACCATTGACTCATTGAGTAGGAGTACGTGTATATGATATATGCTTTTGTATCTGATAATAAAGCTTCATTCCAGTTGTCCATTCAATGGCTTCCTCCTGTTGCAGTGAAGTCAGTTTAACACCACTCCATTACGAAACTGTCCCTTCATTAGGAAACAGTCACCGTGGTATGGAATGAACAGCAGGAAATAAATTTTGGTTGGGACTGTTAAATGACATCTGTTTTGTGGTCATGGTTACTGTGTTTTTTTTTCTTTTTCCTGTGTCTGCTGACTGTAGTTGTGGTAACAGCTGCATGTAAAGGGGAGTAACTGACTGTTACTCTGAATAGCCAGGACGTGTTTGGTCGGGATATGGGACCTGATGTTGCTGCATATTAAAGAATCTACAGTCTTGTATTAGATTGTTCCATAGCAAAATGTGTATTTTTCTGTCTTCTGATCTGAATAATACGTTCTTCTTCAGTTCTTAAGATAGCAGGTTGCATATTAGGAGAACACTGTCATTTTCTGAGTATGTAAGAATATATAATATTTGAAACATACACATCATAATGAAAGCATTTATGTATTACAGTGTTACATAAGCACTTTCATTTTAGTGCCTATTTAATTTACATTGATTTTTATTTTAGGGAATGCCTTGTGCTCTACATTTTATACAGAGGAAGTACATTCTTTATTTAGGGTATTGAACAGCTTTGTTGCTGGCTGCCACGTGAAGAGAGTAGCGATATACTTGACTAGTTTTTTAGTTTTTTCTCTTTCATAAAAACAAGTTCTGCTTTTTCTTTTTTGTTTCTTACTTTTTGGTGGAGCAGCCAGAACTGAACTGTTTGAGTAAACAAAACCAAAGAAAGTATTTTGCTGCATAGTCTGTTTTGGAAACTTTACCTAGTAGCGTTCTCTTAGCTGTTATCCAAGTGAACATGGAGATAAATGCTATGTTAGCTACAGGAAAACGTAGTACTACCTCCAATCTTTTGTTTATCCCTGAGTTACTCTGTCCAGCTCCTGCTTTGCTGGCTACTGCATAGTAGATGCTAGGCTGTTAAGTGATGCTGATTTGCATACTGATAGATAATTAGGATAGTTTTGAGTGTCTTTCCTGAACTGATAATGAACATCTTCGCTATGTGCTTGCACATCTCCTGAGGCCTGCTGGGTTTTAGCTTCCGTCTAACTTGTCTGGTAGGTCCCACATGTCATATGCTCACATAGATCTACAGTGTCAGACTGCAGGTGAAAAATGACAGTACTATGTTGTTATGCTGTCAGAGTATCCCCTGGCTTTGTCATCATTTCAACCTGTCTTCACTGAACTTGGATAGAAAGCTTGAAACATTGCCAGCCTCCACTGAGCAATAATGAAAATGCCAGCTGGAAACTTGGCATGAGTGTTAGAGAACTGTCTTTTGTGTAACTGAATTACCCAGTGTGTCGTCTGCCAAGCTTTCCTTCAAACTTTAACACATAAGAGAAGGAAAAGGGTGAGTGATTTAACTGTAGTATATGCAGAGTCACATAGATTTTGTATTATACCTGTCTGCAAGGTGCAAATTACACTGTTACTGAGCTTTGTGGAAGGATTGCCCATTTATTGCTTCCCATCCTTTATTTCCAATACCAGCATTTTCTCATTCCTGTTGTGTTTCTGTTGCTTGTGCAATGTTTCTCCTAATTTTATCTGCAGTAAATAGTTCTTCATAGCATTTCTTTCATTCATCCTAATCCTGAAGCATAATATATGCTTCACATATAGGTAACTAGAAAAGTTTTCTATAAAACTTGTGAATACTATTTAATGAAATGCTTATGCCAATTATAAGATAATTCTAACATATTTATTTCTCTACCATTTTACTGTATATATTAGAGGTGTACTTTCAGGCTTCAGTGTCAGCTTTCTCTGCTAGACTTCACAATTTTTTCTTTTAATTGAACTGTGATTGATGTGGTCTAAAGGACTATATAAGCTTTAAACTCACCTTTTTTTTTTGTATATATATATGAAAAAGGTTCCTTTTTGGCCATTTTGCCTAAGTGGCTCAGACACCTTTCAAAATTCCAGACATAGCTTGTGAGTTTGTATACTTGTAGTGATCTCTTGTCACATAGTAGAATGGCAGTAGTTCAATATGTGAGTATTTTTGGCAGAAGTACTAGTATTAGTGGTTTGATGGGTGAGTAGGGATTTAGCTGTTGTATAGAGTATGTGGTTGAATAGTCCTGTTATGTATTCTCATATAGGAATGCTTTCCAGCACTTGCAGGTGGCAAGAGTGTATTGCCAGTGACAGAACTTGAGTCATCTGGTAAGAGAGATTGCAATATCTAGATAAAGTGCTGGTTTTGTCAGCTTGAGGCTCATAATATAAATTTGTGATGTCCTTTTCTGAGTTATGAATCTGACTTCCAGAGACCACCTTTTTTTCTGGTTTGGATCTCTATCCATTTGAAAAGTCAACCAAAAAATCCACTCTGAGTAGTCCTGCTGAGTTTCCCATTTTTCCTTTCTGTCTGTGCAGCTGCTGCTCGTTATGAAGAGGGAGAATCTGAAGCTGAGAGCATTACTTCATTCATGGACACTTCTAATCCTCTTTATCAGCTCTATGACACAGTTAGAAGTTGCCGAAACAATCAGGGCCAGCTCATATCTGAACCTTTTTTCCACTTGCCCTCCAAGAAAAAGTATCCTGATTATTATCAGCAAATTAAAGCACCTATTTCATTGCAGCAGATCAGGTAAGAAAAAAGAATGCAAGAATGCAAACTGCATCTGGTGGGAAACTATTCAAGGGTTTCTTTTATTTCCAGAATCCTATCTTGTGGTCAAGTTGTTGATACCTAATTGAGTTTACAACATCTGTCCTCTACATTTGGTTGCTTCTTGTTTCAACTCGATCTGCACCTGTCTTTCAATCATCTTTTGTAGTTGGCTGTCTTTGGGTTTGTTTTCCATGGGCTATTATTTGTAATGTGCCCGAAAGGTTGCTATATCCATAATCCTGAAGGTTAGGTGGGCCTCAGAGATGAAAGCTTCTGCAGAACCCCTGTTATTCTCTTTCCTTGATCCCAATGGCTTGATTACCTCTTACTGTTATGATTTTGAAATCAATAGTCTTCATCAATGTGAACTGTAGAAAGATAGTTGCAATTGCATTCCTTTTGTCTGGGTCACAGTGTAACTGGAGAATAATTATTTTCATTGATTATGTAGCTAGTCTGGACTGAAGCAAGCAGTACACCATTTATAAATCTGTGAGCTGTGGAAGGTTCATCAACTGCCAGAGCACAGCTGTCAGATTAAAAAGTGAGTGACGAGAAGTGAGCAGTATCTTCCTTCCATGGTCTAAGATAAGTTAATATGATGGATATGTGTCCTGGGTGCATTAATAGACCATAATAGCACTGACCAGCCGTGAGTGGCCCTATGCAGTGGCCACTGGGGCTCCAGTCCCTGCCTGAGCTACACTGCAGGAGTGCTGGTCCTCCAGCTCCAGTGAGTGAGGACTGAAGCCCAACACTGTTCATGTGTTTGTAATCCCCTCGAATACACCGGCCTATAAATTTTAGTTAACACCATAATATGGTCTACTAGACATGATAGAATCGTTGAATAAGCACTGTCTTAGTTATTTCAGAAAGTAACAAAGCTTTTTTTCCCTTTTTTTTTTTTTTTAACTTGGCAGAAGGTGTTTTGCCTGTGCTAGCGAACAAGTATGGAGCTGCCACACTGGTTATCTATCGATCAGTTGCTTTAAAGCATTTTTTCTTATGTCTTAGTACAGCTGTTGGCTTGGCAAAAAAACGAAGGTGGTGTGTCTTGAATGAAGCAAGCACAAAATGTACTTAATTGAAAAAAAAAAAGGTGGAATTGAGAAAAATCATTGACAGTTATAAGGAAGCTTTTTGTTTGAGAGTACCAACGAATATCACCTCAAGTTACACATAAACAGATTTAACTGCGAGAGACCTTCCATTAAAAACATCCTTGATATCAGTTATGGGACAAATAATTTAATGTAGAGAGGCATCTGTATTCCTGCTTTTCTTACAGTGTAGGCAGGTTACATCTGACTGTGTGAGCAATACAGAAATTGCACACAAATGTATGAACTGTAGAGAAAAAATTACTAACTTGTTGCCTGAGAGCTTAGAAAATAGTTATGATCTTTTTTAGAAATAGTGTTTGTAGCTCACAAGTTGAAATCCGTTATTTATAATAGTCCAACTTCTTTTAGCAAATGCTGAAATTCAGCTGTTCTTTAAATAATTCCCACATAATCTTCACTTCTTACTATACCTAAAAAGCCTTGGAGTTGTGCATATGTATGCTTAATTGATGTGCTTTATGGAGAGCTGAAGCTAGCACAGTTTTGCTGATATTACAGCTATGTCTTTCGAAACTGCCACTCATTGGGGGTGGAGCTTCCTTGTGGGTTTTGGCATTTGTTGCGTTTTGTTTTGTTTTCTGGTGATGAAGTTTTTTGTGTTCTGTGGGTTTTAGAGTTTTTTTAGATGTGCTTGTAAAGAGACTTATGTTCTGTTCACAGATGGGGACAGAAGTTAGTTGTCCTAGTGAACTGAATTGGCTTCCCTGCCTCTCATCTGTTTTACTTTGGCGTCTGGCTACCTGAGCTATCCTGCCAGAGTGAGCTGTCAAATACATGGCTGTTGGGAAGTTTACAGCCAGTCGTATTTTTCAGGAGTTTGTGTGTCGAAGGCAGGAAAAGCCTTACAAAATAATGTGATTTCTAGAGGGAGAGTAGGGGTATTTTTTTGTTTTAATTGGATGTACATGATACTTCTCCCAGCCTTTCAGTCCCTTCATTAGCATTATGCACCTCAGTGTTTTGAGCTAAGTGCTGTTCCTGAGCTGTTCCTGGATGTGGGAGGTAATCCTGCTGGCTTCAGTTTTCTGCTGGTTTCCTTCTGACCTGCTCTTTACAGTCACAGAATAGCTGAACTCAGAAAGGAGACCATCCAGTCCAGCCTCTGGCTATAGCAGGGTCACCCAGAGCCTGTTGCCCAGGAGTATATCCAGTCAGGTTTTGAGTATCTCCACGGGAAGAGACTCCACAACCTTCTTGGGCAACCAGTGTCAGTGTTGGACCACTCTCCCAGTAAAAAACAAAAGTTGTGGTTTTTTTCTTCAGATATAATTTTGTGTGACTCATCTAGTGTAAAACATGGTTTTGTGTGATGTTTATTATTTGAGGATTTGAAATGCATTTTTCTTATGAATGTGCATCCTTCTGGACAATGGTCTGCGGCCCAGGGATCTAAACATTACATTTCACTGCACTGGGATGTGCAGAGGTTCTCCTGAAACTGACATTTGTGGTGGCTTTTGTTGCCTTTCGAATAATTACTGAGTTGAACTTACAGTAAATATGATTGTCTGGTCAAGTATATTTTACCTTATAGTTTAACCACTTCTAGCAATATAACAAATAAATGAGTGGAACTTATCTTGAAGTAATGGAGAATGCTGTCTGGGTTAAAGTCTGAATGGAACTTGTTTTCTCTTTTTTTGGGGGAAAAAACCTGGGAAAATAGAAAATATCTCTGTAATATTTAGAATACCTGGTAAATTTTCACTTCATGTAAGATTTAGTAGTTCTTTAATTTCTTTTTTTTCTGTTTAGTATAATCTAATATTTGTTGAATATTATACATTTTAAAAAAATCTGTCTGCATAAGCAATTTTTGTACCTTAGCAAGTACTTTGAGTGTGTAAGGCCTTTATAAAATCACAGGTTCAAGTGAACAAGGTTCTTGACATACTTAGTAAGACAACTGTCAGTCTTCAAGAGGACATTTTTCAAATGCCTTTCTTGATCACATGCAGTTTTGTTACTGTTTTTTCCTAAAGGGGAAGGACTAGCACTTCACAATTTCTGAACAAAAGGAAGTAAGTTACATGATAACTGGTTTTAACCATGTGTTTGAATTTTTTTTCTTCTAGCAATGTTTTAGGTGTATGTCTGATAAGGTGGATCTTTCAATTATATGGAGGGAGTATCTCATGTTCAGTTCTTTCAGACACTCCACCTGCAAGGGCTGATGAGTTTCCAGTAGACCTTCTAGGGAGTTGAGTGCCAGCTTACTCTGGTTTTTTAGTTACTATTCTGATTTAGACCAGATTAAATGTCATGTCAGTCTTGGTTTGGGCTTAGAAGCTTTACAAAACTCTAGTCTACCTTTTAAACCATTTTTTTTCTCATTTTGCAAAGGTCGTTATCTTCCAAGTTTTATTCATGATTTTAGGTAGAATTGTATCTCTGTCAATCATTTCACAGAAATTCTCTTGGTTTCAAGTATATCAGCTGAGTTTTTATTAAGTTGGCAGTAGCTTTCTCTAGAGCCATGGATTTAGTTAGTTTTGGCCTAACTTTGCAAAATAAACTGGTGTTTATAAAATTGTTTCCTTCCAAGATTGGTGGGATGATTTTTTTTTGAGTTTATTGTGAAGTTGCATTTCATACTCTTAAATCCAGAGATGGCACTATACTTGAGTACTACTGAGTTTGAGTATAATTAAGTCTGTTCAAAGTACTTCTGTAAATAATCTTAAGTAATCATCCTATTGTTTGCTGACCTCAAGTGTATTGAAGAGGATGGTAAGGTAGGAGGTTATTTGCAGACTAGAACAGGCTGACTTCTGTGCATTTTTTATTCTTCATATGTGTGGTTGGAAGCTGTCTGTCTTTCTAAACCTTTTGGGCTAGGCCTTGAGTTTTATTGTCAGGCCTTTCATGAATACAACAGGGAATGTGGGTTGTTTGTTTAAAATCACCTTGATTATTTCATTGTGGATAAACAAATGCTGATAGAAGCAATATTTTATTTCACAGAATTATAGAATGCTTTGGGTTGGAAGGAACCTTTAAAGGCCATCTAGTCCAAACCCTCTGCAGTGAGCAAGAACATCTTCAACTAGAACAGGCTGTGCAAAACCCTGTGCAACATGACCTCTCTCCAACATGTTCATGTCTTATGCTTTCTGTCCCTAGTAAGATAAATTAAATGATAACTCATCCTTTCTCTTAAAAGACAGTGTTTTCTCATTCTCTTGTCTTCTGGCTTTAGGTTAAGATTTAAAGGATTAAGATAGAATTAAGCTGCTTTTCTTCACTTGTGAACTACTGTTGGGGTGCTCAGCTTCTCCATCAGTTTAAAGATTTTGTTTCTACAGGGTCACAAGAGAGCACAGAACTCGTGCTCACAGAATGGTATGTTTAAGACTGAGGGTAACTTCGTGTGTGTTTTCTGCTTTTTTGGTGCTTCAGGGTTAGACTTCGTTGTAAAATGCATAGGTCACTGCCTAAATACACACAGATGAAGCCAGTGTGGGATAACAAGGCTATAAGGAGTAAGTGATAAATTTTTAGACTAAATATGTGATAGTAGTGTTCTGGAGTCTACATGAGCTACCTCTCTCTGCCTCTGGGAGGAAAGGCAAAGCAAATCCCAGATTTGTTAGTGTCAAGTGGCTTAGGATATGCTGGTATGAAGTATTGTGAAATTGTACAGGACCAATTTAGAATTTTTGTTTGTTTGTTTTTTGGAAAAAGAAAGCTGTTGCAAGCAAGCTGGATATATTCCCTAGGAAACACTGATGCCTTGCTCATTCTACCTGCAGCTTGCTTTGAATTTGTTCTGCTTCAAAGGACACGTGAAATTCTTCCTTTTCTCAGTTTGATAAAACTGGCACCTAAACATACAGAACTTGATCGATAAGATAGGTTACTCATCAGTAAATCTGATTTTATAGTATCATGCTGCAAGTGTTACGTTGATTCTGAATTTACAGGTGATAAGGGTGTAGAGTTGTCTGTTGGCTGTAGTATCTCAGGGTGGTCATTGATGTTGAGTTTTTCAATCAGTGTAATCCTAGACCTTCAAGAATTCTTCCAGGGCAGCTTTAAGTTTGGTGCAGAAGAACTCCAAATAAAGAGGAGTAGTGCCAAATGATAGTAGGGTGAAACAATTTGAATTGAAGAAGTGGTACTTCAATTAATATTTAGTCCTCTAGGTTGCTCTTTAGAAAACAGACCTCTTAAATCAGCAATCAAAATGTGAACTTGCAAGTTTGTAATTCTAATTTTCTAAGTTAAATGGAAGACTAGAAACTTTTTTCCTGCTGTCCAGTCTCTCAAAGCTTGTTTCAGTTTTCTAAAGGGAGGTGAACATGCCAGAGTTGCCTAAGAATGTTTATAAAATGCATGCTACTAATGTTTAAGCAAAACTTGAACCAGGATTTGAAAGGCAGGGGTATTACATGCAGAGTTGGCTTACTTGCAAGACAATGAACTGCAGAGGAGATCTTGAGAGGACTTTATCCCAGCTTACTTGTTAGGATTTCTGAAGCATGATTCCTTGTCCTCCAGCAGTTGTCTTTATCAGTAAAAAGCACTGAGGAATTTTAGACATTTGTCTTGAGTATTTAATACTCAAATCTGAGAACAGTTGTGATAGTCTTCACTTTATTAGATCCTTAGAGGCTAATTCTGTAGGTTTGTCACTATGAGTTGTCACTTGGAAAAAAATTATGCTGTTGCTCTTAACATCCAAGGGGACAGAGAAGTCTGTTGGTCAGCATTTCTCTCCAGTGTTGCTGCTTAATTGATTTCTACATAGGACTTTCTCCAGGTTGCTTGTTCTTTTTATGTTTTTAATTTTTAAAATAGTTTAGCTGGTTAGAAACCTTTCTCTAAGATGCAGAATTGCCTTTAGACAGTTTTGTTTTCCATTAATCCTTTGACAGTTTGATAAATACCTGTATTACTATCAGTAAACTGCTTGTTTACACAGTTAATTACCCTATGTGCTTGGACAAATTAGAGTGTTCTTAAATAATTCTGTTTTGGAAAAATTAAAACTTACTTTTGATGTTTTTTTGATAAATATGAGCGTATTAGTTGGGTTTTTTATGAAAGTTAAAATTTTAAGTCTTCCTGTTCTATGTTTTCTTGAGTATTCTTTTAATGATGTGTTGGGGTTTTGTAATGCCAGCAAGTGTTTATGTCCTGAAGTCCTGTAATTGCTTGTCAAAATTTTTGTCGGGCTGCAAGAATTAATTACATACATTTTAATCTGTAAGCTTTGCACCAGTATTCAGAATAGCTGGAGAAGATGTAAGGTGGCCTGCAGTGTTTATTGCTAGACAGTGGTAAAGGCATGAAATAAAGTCAGTGTTTACAGCTCTAGTATTTATAAGACCGTGTATCATATGCTTATGGTTTAGGACAAAATAATGCTGAATTTAATGGGCTTTTTATTTTATTTTTTACTTTTTAAATATCAGTCACATGTTCCTTAACATATGCAAGTAATTGTTGCTGGTCTTTTACAATGTGGAAATGGAGGCTGACTTTGACTTTTCTTCATGGCAATGTACTTGGTACTTGAACTCCTTTGCTTTTGGGGGTGTGTGTGTTTCACTGCTTTTTAAAAAAAAAAATAATTAATTTTCATTAGATTAGTAAAAGATACAAATATATTGGCCACTCCTTTTTTTGGAATTGCAGATTATCTGTTGCTTCAGTTGTAAACATTAAAAATAATCTAAAAAATAATGCATAAAGGTTTGTAAGATACCAATGTCTTAAAGTCTTAAAAAAGATAAACAAACCTAAAATCATTCATTTTAGATGAGAATGACAACAAGTAAATTGTAAAACATCTTACATCTGGGATTTTTGTCCAAAAAGATGTTGGGGGTTTAAAAAAGTTAGCCAGAACTTTCAGCACTTGTGCAAGTAAATATGAGAAAACACATTGTTCTTGTCAAGTGTACTGATTCATCTGTTTAGCATATGAAAAATTACTTTTTGTTGTTTTAGTCCTCTTCCAACTGTTTTCACATGAAGTGCACTTCGTAGGTAGCACCAATCAGCAGCTAAGTGGGTTTAAGAGAAGGCAAAAATTGGAGGGGGCTAACATGGGAGATGTTGGTCACTTCTGGTTCTCACTGAA